GTGATTGTTATAGAAAGTTATAGTCAGTCACTGAAGATGCAGTTTAATCTTCATATGATAATTATGAAGCACAAGTAGGCTTACTTATGAGAGAAACATAATTATTTATGAAATATTCTATTTTTTCATGATAATGATCTTATATTTATAGTAGTAAAATGGGTAACGAAACTGCTCTAACAACTATAAAACCAATTTTTATTTCAATGACACTCAAGTACAAAAATGACATTCATCAATTAATATCCATTGCGCAGTTTCCTCAGACAGCTCTTTGCTGCGTTGAATCGTGTTGGAGGAGGGAAACATGTTTTCTTCAGGATGCTGTTCAGGAGGTCCATAGAAAAGTATACTTGTTAATTTTGTTGTAAAGTAGTTGAGAAAAAAACAGTACATAATTCTTCTTTAAAACACTGCTCATATTTGATTTAAAACATAAACTTGTGTGACCCTGACCATATGATTTTTGTTTCACTAACCTGGAAATATGAGTTCCATGCCCGCAGCCTCTGAACTTCAAAGATTCCTCATAGGATTATATTGGTTTTTATATTCATTACCATAAGTTATTTCCTTTATCAGAATATTTGATCATTTGTGTAAATATATACAATTTCATTTTCATGATAAATACTACATATGGAAATTCTAAGACGATTGATGTAATTGCTGAAAATAACTCTGAATGGCAACTCAAGCGATGGCACCCATGAAGTTCATGACGGACACGTGACGTAACAGTACATGATTGGTGGGATTAATGTGTCCCTTCTGCGCATGTGCAGGATTTAAAAAATGAGCTTAATATTAAAGCCTGTTCAAGAGGTGCAATTTGGGGACGCTGCCATTGCGCATGCGCACTAGAGATCTGGATTAAACTTTAATACTGGATTAACTTTAATGGCACATACAGAAGACACCCTATGACATTTGATGATATCTTATTACCATTACTTGAGTGAATATTTGTTCAAAAAGTATCAGATATATATCTAAACATAATTAGATGATTAGTATATAGTATATGTAATCATATTTGTGATTATGACATTTGTTTTTACTGAATGTATAGAGTTGACTTTATTATTAGGACTTTGGGAATGTATTAAACAAAAAACAAAGTAAGTTGGAGATTATAATCCAATATATAATTGTGTGCCTGAAGGCAAATGCTGATAAAAAGAAACAAAAAGGAAAACTTTCTTTTATATTTGTTTCTTTTCAGATAATTTTATATGGGAAATCAGTTGTGAAAAAGGCTTATTTTCATATTATTTATATTATATTCATGTTGATGTATGTTTACATTTGCTCTTGTAATTATCATATTTGGTATTACAATTTTTAGTATTGCTGCCATTAGTATGATCATAATCATCAATATTTTTTTTGTGATGTTCCATTTTCTTGTGGTTTCAGGTTTCTGGTCATTTTTGTACTTCATTGGTTTCTGCTACCTGACCAACAAGTGGAGCAATGCACCAACTCCTCCCTATGGTGTCAACAACATGCAAGCTGCCATTGCCTTCAGCTTCTTCGCCATCTTTCCCTGGGTGAGTCAGGGAAGTGGGAGAAAGAAAGAGAAAATATGAAAGCAAGTGGAAGTCTGAAATTCTGAGAAATTGATATTTTTGTAACCATTTTTCTAAAGTATAGATCTTTTGCTTTGTAGTGACATATATTTGCTAAAGCATTGATAAACAATAATTTTACTCCATCCTAGTTCCCTTCACCAAAAATAAACTCCTCTGCCCATCAACCACAGGCTGCAGCAGCTTACCTAGCCTTCATGAGGTATAAACAAGGGGCCGACCAGGCCTTTGCCCCAAGTTATGAGGCTGATCCAACCAACATGGGAGGCTACAACAGCTACCCTGACGCCACAGATCCTGAGGGTGGCTATTCGCAACCTCCGTTCACTGGCCAGCCAGGCCAACCACCTCAGTCAGGTACAATGCCAGAGGCTGAACCCATGAGCTATCAACAACAGCCGTGATTGAGTGGGTGGTTTTGAGGGGTGTGGGAAGGTTATGTTTATATATATGTATATTTTTCTTTCTTTTATCTTTTTTTCCTTTTTTCACTTATATATTTACCTATATATATGTATTTCCTTTTCTGTTACATATTTAAGAGTCCACAGTTATCAGTCTTGATTAGTAACCACTGCAAGAGGTGCTTTGGTGAGATGAAATATGGGAAACACTTTGCAGGTATCTTGAAAGTATTGTTTAGAAAGAGGGAAAGTAACCTAGAAAACTGAAACTATATTGCACATCATTAACTGCATGTTAAAAATATGCTAACAAGTCATCACAGTAGATTATTAACATTTAGTGTAGAATCAGGGTTTTGTTCATAATATATTGTTATTTGTATGAATATTAATATCATAATCTTGGATTAATTTTCCTTTTCTTAATTTCATCTGTTGAAATCATTGTCAGAAAAAAACTAAAACTTTTGTTTGAATTTACTTTAGATTTTAATCCTGTTCAGTTGAACCTGATACAGAAAAGTTGTTCTTGACTAAATGGTGGTTTTAATGTATTTTATGAAATCCTTGTCTAAAAAAGTAGATGTAATTAGATTCCTTCAAGATAAACTCTTGCTTTTCAAAATATAGGTATTGCTTGGAAAAAAAAAAGCTTATCACTGTCTGTTAATGTTATATGTATTCAAGTTTAGAAACAAATCTTGCTATACTGTCTTTTTATTAAGGCAAAGATGCACTAGACAGATTGGTGATCACTGCCAGAATACAATATGAATGACATCATTATATTTTTAATAAGTATAATCACAAACTTGTTCGTTATCAAATCATCACCACCAAACCTGCCAACCTGTTAACAATTATCAGCCTGTCACCCACATCTTTACCTTGATTTGAAAGGAAAATACGGAGTTTAGGATTTTTTTTATTATTATTATTTTATTTGTTTATTTATTATTATTATTATTTTTTTTTTAGCAACCAATCTATCTTTCATCAGTTTCTCCTTTAGAAATAATAAGTATAGTTAGGTAATTAGTCCTTTTCATTTACATACTAAGTTGATTTTTCATAGTCATTTCATTAACGTTGTTGGTTATTGTAATAGGATATTCATCATCACTACTATTGTTATGCAATTTCACAATTGTCTTCATTACTTGAGTCCAAAGAGGACTTGTACAAATAGAAACTCATTTTCTAATGTAAGATAAAGCAGATAACTACTAGGCTAAGTAGGCTAGAATATGTATTGCCAGTATTGCTAGTATAGTTGTGCATTCGGCTTAATGTCTCCTCCTTGTACACAGGTATGCAGCAGGCACCTCCATACTAGGCCACCAAGGTGCGTGCGCACTTTCTTTGTGGCGCAACTAGTCAGTCTACACACTAGTCGGCACCGCTCTGCTGGATAGCACCGTCACTCTCCCCCTCCCCCCTCCCCTCTTGCCGCAAGCAACCCAAGTATTTCAGGTCTCCTTCTGGTAGCAGCATACCTTTGGGGGGCTGGGTCATCCAGGGAACATCGAAAGGCAGAAAAGAAAAGTCTACACAGTGCTGACAACAATGGAGAGTTGTTGAACAAGTAAAAAAATAATTTTTAAGGAGAGTTTTTGAAGGCCTGAGGGAGGAACAAGCGTAAAAGATAAATAATAATGATAACGATAGTAATGAAACTTTAACAAATGACAATAGAGGTCAGTTCACCTACCTTCCAAGACACAACTTTCACAAGAAGGGCCCCTAGTACTGGTATAGAAGATTAAGCGAGAAAAAGAATATATATATATTTATTATTTATTATTTTTTTGATACGGTTAGTCTCATTTTCAGTTACCAAAATTGTCAGAGATTGCTTTAGCTACCTCATGCTTTGATCAATTTTTCAGTATTGATATCCTTAATGTTCAATTATTTCATTTCAGGTAGACTAGGAATCCTTTGTTTATTTCTTGTAAATAATGATGACACATTTTACCCTTAAAGCAGTTGCAAAGTGTTTTCTATGTCCTGATAAATTGAGAGTACCATGCGTCTGTCTTAGAATGTAGATGATGTTAGGCAACCTATAGGTCCCTCAGTTCATTCTATGGTACTTGGGATATAGTCAACAAACATCAATATTCCCTATCTGTAACACATTTATTTTTACTTTGATGACTATATTTTTAAAATCTAAGTTCACATTCAGAAGTGCAAGATAACAGACAGATTGCGTCTCAAATCTGCTTTAGAGCCATGATAACAAATGTGTTCCCCCCATGGGGGAATGCGCTCTCTTTCTCCCCAAGGGTTGCCTGAGAATATTGTGCTCAGATATGTTATTTCATCAAATTATCCTTGTTAAACAAACTTTGACTCCCATACTGTTCACACCCTTCCTTTCCCCTTTTGAACATGTGCCAATAACTTGCAATAACATTATTCCTGTCAGTAAGATTAAAAGGAAGAAACACGACATGAAATTTAAAAGCTGTATTGCAGTGGAGTCCAGAATATATATAATGTACAGATGTCGATACTGGAAGTGGGTTCATCATGTAAGGGCAAGCTACGCCATCACAGAGATGAGTCGGGGTTGCCAGAGTGAAGATAGGTTCATGATTTCTCTTTTATCCCCTTCTCAATCACCAAGAATATTTGTCCTGATTGCAAAGCATTTTGCATGGTCACCAAATTTTCAAAGGTTTGATTTTCAGCTTTTATGGCCGTATCAGGCAGTTTTAACTTTAATTTTTGTGCAATATTTTAAGGGCATTCCTGAGATTTTACTAAGGATTTTATTTCTTTCTGCTATTACTTTAAAAAAAATAGCTTTGTGATAAAAGAATATACTCAGTCTTATTTTTTAAAGCAATGCTCCAATTTGCTCAGTATGAATCTCATTAATGATTGTCAGACAGGCTAAAGACGAGAGACATGTGGACAAAGACACAATTACATATACTGTACATATGCATACTCTTACATGCATAGACACACCTTCCCTGTGTTCACTTAACACCTAACAGCTAACATTTTAGGCTAATCAAATACACACACACATACACATACATACATATATATATATATATATATATATATAGATATATATATATATATATATATATATATATATATATATATATATATATATATATATATATATATATATATATATATATATATATATATATATATTATATATATATATATATATATATACACACACACACACACATATGTATGTATATGTGTATGTAATCACTTCATAATTAAATTGTTCGTAGTATGACCATTTGGCTATTAACCTAACACTTTTTCTGTTAGGTCTGTAGTGAATGCAATGTTTCACTCACATGCATATGCAAACACACACCCAGACACACACTATTATTCGTCATTTCCTTTGTATAGAATGCCTGAACATATAACATAGGTGTATGTATGCAAACATGTAAGTGAAAATGTAATTAATGATTTACATAGCTTTACTATGTAAATGTAAGTAATTTCAGTCTGTATTATGGTATAGGTGGGCCATAAAGTCCGGCCCAGGCAGACCTCCATGATCTCACTGAACCAAATATTGATATATAAAACTTTATAGATTGTAATGAAAGCTAAATTGGCTGCACAAAATGAAAAAAGCAATAATTAAAATGATGTAAGACTATAGATATATATATATTTTTTTCTCTTTTGCTTATTTTATGTGACTAACTAGGAATTTTTGTTAGAGCATGTACATAGATTAATTATTGTAAATGGATAATCTGGCAACCCTGACACCAATAACATGGCCAGTGGAGATTCGGTGGTTATATGACCTTATATCTATTTTCCAGTCTATTTTATGTATATAGTTTCATAATGTGATAATAGAGAAAACAAATAATTATTGTTAATATATTTTCCCCAAGCAGAGTGAATGAAATGTGGATATATTTATATATTTTGAACCACAAAGCCATTATTTTTGTCCTGCTCTTCAGAGCAGATCTTCCACAGGATATTTTTCTTCATTCAAAAGAAATAAAATATATACTTCCACATATCATGTTATTGTATAAAGATCAGAAGAAACATTAATTGCGCTCTATGAAAGGAAAAAAAAATTGCCTTGTTATTATCTATCACTTTTTTTTTTTTTTTTTTTTCTTTTTTTTTAATATCCTTTAGATTCCACAAGAGAAAATACACAAGAAATAAAAATAATAATTGAAGAAGAAGCAAGATTTGGCAGCACTTTACTAAACAAATATTTTCTCAATAATCTCAACTGAATTTCCTATAACCTTCACCAGTACTGATCCTCGGGAAATTTTAAAGAGATATATTTGTAAGAAATGGGAAAAAAATTATCACAGATGATGGTCCATGTCTCACCTTCAACCAACAGGGGTCAAGATGATTTGGTTGGCGAACCTAGTTTGTTTTTTGTGTAACTGTTGTGACTATGTGAAAAAAGGCCGAATAGCCCAGTTCACCTTCTGTAATCATATTCATCTAGTTATTGGTGTATAAATGTACGTAAGATTATTGGAGCGTCAGTAGTCGCAAGTGCAGTAATGTCAAAATTGCTAGAACGTGGTCAACTTGTGTTGTGTTGTTGTAAAAAGAAGAAAAAATAAAACACAAAAAAAAAAAAAAAAAAACAGGAAGAAAAAGTAATGCTTCTGCAAAGCTGTTTCACTGGTGACCCAAGATGCAAAACCTCAGACATACAACAAACAGAGTACCGTTCAACTGTGAAACCATTTCCTCTCATCACTGCAGTGGTATGAGACCTCGCCTGCATTCGGTACGAGTATGTACAATAGGTTTTTGCTTGGGGCTAATTGACTGCACAAGCGATTGCCGACAATTAAATGTATAGTGAAATTCAGTGCTGTAGATATTGTTGCCAAGATAGAATGAGAATGTTTGGAAGCCTTTACAAGTAGTGTATCAGTATTTAAGGAATGTCTGACAAATACAGTATTTGAACTTTCCTAACAAAATTTCATGCTTGGGGACTTGTCGTAAGTTGTTTGTAAATAAAACTGTCACGGAATGTTGGAAATGTTATTTTGCTTGAAAGCTAGTCATGTATTTGTTTTTACATAGAGGCATTCCTTGATACCTGACACTTCCATTTCATTGTTAAGTACGATACATTCCAGATATGTTTGGGAAATGGTTTGTTGTTTTCCCTTTGAATGTACATTAAGTCTGTAGGGTTTTTGTGTTATTACACAAGTACATTAATTTATGTTGTTTTTATCTTTTTAGTTATTAGTTTATTGGGAGGCCAAGAAAGATAAGGATTTTTTAAGAAAATAGGTTTTATGTTATGACTACTGGTAGTCATTGCCATTAAAAAAATAAGAGCAGTATTACTTGCTTTTTTTGTAAATGTGTAATATGAATTAGGAAAATCAAAACAGGGCATGCACTCGTCATTCGCTTCTTTTCCAAAAATTAAACCAAGATAAGTTTTCGATTGGTGTCTTTCAACAAACTTTTACACTTAGAACCTCCACACTGGTTGGGGGTTCATCGGCCATCTTCCCTCAGTCTTGTTTCTTCCCGTTACCCGGTGTTCTGTACTGTAAAAGTATTAGGTTTTTTGTTTGGAATCTTGCTTTCCTCTTCATCTTTATTGGAATGTAATGTAATGCACACAATAAAAACAAAGTGCTTGAAAACTGTTTTCTTTCTCCTTATTATGTCCTCTATTTAAAATAATGTACCATTACCGAATTACTTAACCTTTTTTAAAATTACTTTTAACTCAGACTTGAGTATGAGAAAAACAGGTAGAGGATGCAATCAATAATCTTTAAATTTCTGTCATTTGCCTTAGTAATTATTCTACCCATACATCTAAAAAAAATTGCTGACTTAGTACATGCTTTTGTTGCTCACACTATAAATTGGGTTTTGAGACAATATATCTTAACCAACAGATGCCCTGAATGTATTGGCCATACTATTAAATGCTGGAGCCAGCTCCACAATTAAGTCCCCAGATAAGGGTGCGGTGAGCCCTGCATTCCCAAACCGCATTAAAACTGCTCAAACAAGCCCTTTCTGTAAGGACTGGTCGGTAAGCCTGAAGAATCTCATGCGCCACAGTTGGTATGAGTAATGCATGGCTAATGAACAAGCCATGCTCATAGTGTGTTTCAGGCAAGATAGTGTCAAACCTATCAAAATGTCAAATGTCATTTACAGCTGTTACATTCATAACTGCTCTCAAGACCTGTAATTGTCAGTGAAAGCTCAGGGTTACCAATAATTATGAAACACTATGCCATTACTAGTAAATTGGCCTGGATTATAGATTGCTGGTGGGCGGACCCTAACACACTAAACCAGCTAAAGACATGCCGTAGACCTTCATCCCTACTATCATCTCAAGTTATTATTGATAGTTGATGGTAGTTTGATCGTCACTACAAGTAGATAGAAGGATAGATGTGTATATAATTACATTTTGATTAAGCCAACATAAATATATATTTACATAAATAAGCTAATGTATATACACATGTATATGGATATGAAAGAAAACTCATCCAATTACCCAAAATGGCATATATTGAATATTTTTGTTAATTAAAATTTTTATCTACAACTTGAGCAGTGATATATTCACATGAATGCACTTATCTGATGACTGTGGTTACATGGACATATCGAAGCTAATGTTATAGATGAGTTTAAATTAACAAAAATGTAATAAATGCATTTTCAGGCATTTGGTCTGAGGAGAATATCTTTCAATGTGCATATATCTCCATGTATATACATATTTATCCAAAAGCAAATTAAAAGTTCTTCAAGAAAACATTGGGACGAGGCATAATGCATAGTAATTGTATTTTCCCAAATCTAATAGTACATCACAAAAACTACGGGGAAGCTATCAGGCAGTACAGACCTCCCAAAATGGTGTAACGAGTCTTAAAAAACATATATACTTATTTACTATCACATAAGAAAATAAGGGTTGAATATTTGAAGTAGCATCTGAAAATAATTGATATAATGTTTGGATACTTATATAACATCTTGCAAGGCTTGGTACAGGGTACTCCTAGTTGACCTACATTAGTTCCAATACTAAACAGGAAACCTGAGGGGTGAACAACTGCAAAACCTTAATCATGTGGAAAAGTGTGGGAGGGAAGGGTTCTGGGGAAACTGCACAGATGTTCATAATAATAATTATGATAATAACAATAATAGAAAATTAAAAATTCTAAGGATGGAGTTGAGACCAGGTAGGTCTAGTGACTTGGTGATAAAATACTCCCAGAACCATCCATGTGAAGCTACCTTAATATAATAAAACTTAGAGCAGTACATATCACTTAAGTCATTGGGTTGAATATCGGGCAATTTTTTAGTTTCACATAGCCGTCCTACTTTGCAAGTATTATTCCTTGTTTCAATTATTCACATTTTAACATGTGCAAATCTGGTATTTCCATTGCAAATAATGTAAATAAAAGTATTGGTATTGTTTAAGAGGTGACTGCACCCCTCAGACAAAGTTCCTATTACTCCAGCCATATGAACCAAAAACCTTCCTATCCCAGGGGCTCCACCACCAATACCCTATCCAATTGCCATATTTCCCTTTCAGAAGCTCGCCCCAGAACCCCTCTTGATTACTGTGAACTTACTATCCTCTTGGCATTAGTCGCACTTTATTTTCCTAATTTCTAACTTCTTTTTTTGTCTAAGCAGAGATTATTTCATGTATGTGTGTGTAGTTTTTGACATTGTTTATGATAGTGTCATTACCTTACATTTTCCTGTAAATGTATATCAAAGTATTACCAAATACTATTGGTATTTTTGCATTATCTACAGACAAGTTATGAGAAAGATATGTACAAATGTAGGAAACTTATAAGTCTGTATTTAATAAAAGTAATTTATTTACTTACTTTTACTACTAAACTTTCACATTATTGTCGCTTGTACCAACATATAAAATTGCACCACAAAAAGGTACATGCACCAAGGAAA